TGATGAGGTCCGGCGCAAGCAGTATTCCCTGAGACACGTTCAACCGCAGCTTTAGATAAAGCCGGCGGTCTTAAAGACATTCGAACATTGTTCGATTTTTCAGAAGTACCATAAGAAGAAACAGCCTGCAACGCTCGTTGTCGAACTTCGAGCTGTTGGCGCAATATTTGAATTTGATAATTACGATATTCAGGAGACTCACGATATTGAACACGAATTATTCTGTCAAGATATTTAGTATTGTTCTATTATGAAAAATAGAGGATTAATTTTTCCCACATTTAAATTTATTCTAAATTCTTGAAACTCACCTCTGCTTCAATCGCCTTAGTTGAAGCATTTTCGTCATCGTAACGAATGAATGCAAAAGCTGAACGTACTCCAAAAAAAATAAAAACCATATTTACATTAATTGAACAAATAAATTATCACTAAAAATATTTAGAATAATAAATACCATTTACGCGACCAGCAGGACCAGGTTTCTTTATAGTAACAAGTCGAAGATCTTTGATTTCGCCATAACGATTGAATTTTTGCTCAAGTACATCTTTAGTCACAGCTTCTGGATTAAGCTGTCCGACAAATATAGTACCTTTATCTATATCACCAGGTCCAGGTGTTGCTTTCTCAAGATTTGCTGCCCATTCAATGACGTATGATGAGGTCCGGCGCAAGCTCTTTTTAACGATGTGAAAAAAGATACACGTAGTTTCCAATAGTTGAATTCATATGGATGGATAAACAATAAAAATGCGCGTACCATATATGCGCTGATGGCATCTTCGCGATAACAGAACTTCACGAACGCACATCCACGGCTTTGGCCTGTTCGAAAATCTTTTAAAATATGAATGTCTTCAGTGGCCCCATAAGGTGCGAGAAGTTTGGTGATATCCTAATTATGCAAATGAGTTAGAATTGAGTAAGCGCAGTAATAAAAAGTTCAGCTTTAATTCAGTTTACATCTTCTTTCATATCACGACTAAAGCGGCCGATAAGCAATGTCCGATTAACTTTTGCTTTCTCAACACGAATGTGACGTCCATCGACGATTGAATTATGTGCTTCAGTCAGAGCTCGTTGAGCATCTTCAATACTCTAAGTATCAAACGTGTAAATAATTAATTTAAAGCGCGTCGCGTATAAAGCAAATTAAATCGTGATAATCTCATACCTCAAACT